TTTGGCCTGGGGTTGGCCCTGCTCCCTCCTTTGGAACTGAAGGCAAAAAGCTGATTTATGGAGGATTAAGCAGAACCCTCTTTGGAAAAACGGAGAGGTGGAACCATATGCTTCCTACTTAAAAAGAATTCCACTTCTGTAATGCTGAGATGCCCACTTCAGTGTGTTCTGGAATGCTTCACTTAAGACATTTCCTTCAATCAGTCCCTCACTTACCTCGAAATCCTGTGCATTCTGGGTTTTTACATCTTGACTCCTGAGTGTTACCAGTGACTCCTTGCCAAAACCAGCTTCTTAATCTTTCCTGAGCCGTACATTCCCTTAAAAGTACTTTTTCTTACATAACAGTATGTTTTCTTATGCTTTTGTATTTTTACCTATGAAGAATTTTTGTAAAACTTAAAAAGTCAGTCTCCTTTCACATCTTTGTTCTATAACCAGAGTTAATCTTCTATAGATCCTTTGAAAAAATTTTCAAATTTTAAAATACTAAATGAGATTGCATGTTTCACCTTTTTTCATTTACTCTTTTTTCCATGTTAATGATGTTGATCTTCATTTTTACAACTGGGTAATATTTCATAGGAATGTAGCATAATTTAGCAATTCTTTCACTGATGGGTTGTCTATGTACAACCATAATGTGTTGCAAGGACTATCATACTCCAAGAGAACAAGTTATTTGTAAGATTTTACAGCTGGATAGTTCCCAACTCAAGGGTAATGTATATTTAGAATTTTGACAGATACTGCCAAATTGTCCTTTATGGATCACAGCAATTTAATCTCTCACCACCTGGAGCTTCAGACTTCTCCCAACACTCATTATCCACTTTTAGTTTTTATCATAGTGATGTGCAGAGCATTTGTTTTCAATGTTTGAGTAAATTGTTAATTTGCTTTTTTTTCTCAACTTGTAGTTGACATGGAACATTCATTAGTTTCCGGTGTTCTTGCTTTTGGTATTTTTAATCACTCTTCTTGCTAATTAGTTTTTCTAGAGTTACTCTTTTTCCGACTTGATAATAAACATTGTCTACTGCTGGTCTCAATTTCATGGTACTATTATCTTGTAGCCTTTTATTTTTTTTATTTTTATTTTTTAAAAATTTTATTTCTTTATTCATAGAGACAGAGAGAGAGAGAGAGAGAGAGAGGCAGAGGGAGAAGCAGGCTCCATGCAGAGAGCCTGACGTGGGACTCATCCAGGATCTCCAGATCACGCCCTGGGCTGCAGGAGGCGCTAAACCGCTGCGCCACCCGGGCTACCCCCTCTTGTAGCCTTTTAAATGATTGTTTCTCTCTAGTCTTTGGGGTTTGTTTTGCTTAGGAAGTCCTTCCTAAGATGTATAAAAACAAATTTCTGTATTTTCTTTTAGCACTTTGTTAATATCTTTAATTCTTCTGAAATTTTTGCATATGAAAATGAAGAGCCTATATTTCTCTATTTGAAATGCCATCTCTGTAATAAATGTATACATGGGGTTATTTCTGAACTTTAGTTTGCTCCACTATTTGTCCAGTTCTATTTCAGCACTACTTTGTAGTTCTAATGTGTATTTGGGTAAATTCTCATTCTTTTTAAAAAAACATTTTGGTTAATCTTGCACTTACATTTTTCCAGATAAAAAGAAAATCTTGATTTCCACTAAAAATTGTTAGAATTTGTACTTAAAAGGCAACAAATTTATAATCTGAGTAGAATCTTTACAATGCTGAGCCTACTCATGTAGGGACACAGCGTATCTTTTCACTTAGTTCTGATCTTCTGTAACATCCATAAATGATGTTTTATGATTTATTTTTTCGTTTTGATTTTTTAATATAGGCTTTGCTTATTTCTTGATAGATTTCTAGAAGATTTCACCATTGTTGCTAATGTGAATGAGTTCTTTACATTTATTTATTTATTTTTTAGTTCTTTACATTTAAAAGTTGACTATATCTAGTTTATTTTTGTTTGTATCGTTTATACAAAATCTTCTGTATGTTGCTGAGCTTACCATCTTCCTGACAATATTGTCTTACTGATTTTCCAGGTAGATAATATCATTTATCTTAATTTCTTCCTAATTTCATACCTTAGTTATTTTGATTATTATTACACTGGACTCAAAATTCTCAGAACAATGTTGAATTGTATGAATTAAGGAGATAGCCTGGATCATGACATTAAGTGTTTTATTTCTGGTTGATACCCTTCATCCAGTTAAACTTTTGTTCCTTGCTTAATATAAATTGTATTTCTTTTTTAAATATTTTATTTATTTACTCATGAGAAACAGAGACAGAGAGGCAGAAACACAGGCGGAGGGAGAAGCAGGCTCCATGCAGGGAGCCTGACATGGGACTCGATCCCGGGTCTCCAGGATCAGGCCCCGGGCTGCCCTATGAATTGTATTCCTTAAAAAAATCAGTAATAAATCCTAATTTTTCAAGTGCTTTTTCAGTAACAATTAAAATCATAGTTTTTCTCTATCTACTAATGTAGAAAATTTTCACTAAGGTTGACTATTCTTGTATTGGTGGGATTAACCCAATTTGGTTATGACATTATTTTCTAAATGCACTGATGGCTTCATAATTTCCTTAGGTTTTTCACCTGAGTATTCATAAGTGAGACTGAGATTTTTTTTTTTTTTATTTTCATTATCCTTGTTTAGATTCTGTTATGGTTATGCTCCCTTCATAGTTGGGACATACTCAATTCTTCTCTATGCTTTGTTCCTGGTGACTTTGGTCAAGGATATACATGATATTCTTTCACGATTATCAGTTTATTAAGTTTTTCTAACTAGAGCCAATTTTTGAAAATCTGTATTTTCCTAGAAAATTGTCCAAATAAATTTTCAAGATTATTAGTATAAAGCTACTTGAGACTCACTTCTAATTTTGGGAGTCCCTCATATCTGTAATATGTTCCTTTGTTTCCATTATTGTTTTCTTTCCTTCTTTAAATTTGCTAAGTGTCTATTTGTTGTTCTTTTCAAACAGCAGTTATTATCAATTTTATATTTTATTTAATTAATATCTGCTTTTATTTTTAATCCCTCTCAAGTTTATTTTGGGAGATTTTATTTTTTCTGCTTCTCTGCTGTTTTCAGTTTTCTTTTTTGATCCTTCCTGCCATGTGTGTATCCTTTAAGGGTGTACTAACCCTCAGTGAGTTTATCCATATAACACAGCAACAAATGAAGCCTTTTACCATTATTATGTAACTGGCTACAAACTGTATTAATTTGGAGTCAGAGTGCGTTCCAATTCCCCACCTCCTACTTATGTGATCTTGGCCAAATGTGAGCAGTTTCTTCATCTGTAAAAACAGAAATAATAATACAGATTAAGTTTGAAACTCTTTGCAAATCATTTAGCATAGAAACTGGCCCCTATAATAACTCAATAGATGTCTGGCAAGACAAAACACCTTAGCTGCCCTATTTCTAAAAATAAGGGGATTGAGATGACTAATGATTTTATTAGTTCATCCACCAATCAACTGCTCATCAAGCCACCTGCTAACCCACAACCACAGTTACTAAGCCCTCCCCTTGAACTAAGTATTCAGAATGTCAGGAGCACCAAGATGAATAATGATACAATCCCTACCTTCCAGAACCTCAGAGTTGGGGAGGTGGCATGACTGCTAAATAGCTAATCATAATATAACGTGATAAGTAGTCTAATAAAGGCTGTGTGTATTCAAAGGCTTTGAGAAGTATGTCTGGCAAAATCAAAGATCTAGATTGGACACCTAATTCAGTTAATACTTACTAGCTGTGAATCTTCAGGCAATTAACTTTGGTACTGTTATCTGTAAAAAGGAAGAGTCATACTGTTCTGGTAGGTTATGTTAAGGATTAAGTAAGAAAATTAATACAAAGTGCTTATTACAGTGTCAGACTCATGAACTCACCACATGACGATTATTAATACTGCTAATATTACAAGAGGCTATGGAAGTTAAAGAAAGCCAATTTACTGTACTTCAGGGGAATTTCCCAAATGTGTTTAAAAACAAGACGTGCGGCAAGGTAATAAGGATGGGAAAAAAAACAGGGTAAAAGGGGAACTGAGGTAGGTGATATCCCTGGAGGGCAGATAATTCTAATGTCTCTGCTAAATTAAATCCGAACCGTGTAGTTTCTTTTTTTAATTTATTTATTAAGTAGGCTCCATGCCCAACGTGGGGCTGGAACTCACCACCCTGAGATCACCGGTCGCATTCTCTACCAACTGAGTCAGCCAAGCGCCCCCCCCCCCCCAATGTATTTTCAATAGAGTGACTGGAAGAATGAATACATATTAAGCAATACGGTTGCAGAAAAGGATTTGGGCCAAACTATTGAAAGTGAACACTTTACACTAAAAGGAACCTTGGAGCAGTCTTTTGACTACTGACCTGTGTTTCTACTGGCTTCCACAACTTACCTGTTTGGTCTTAGCAAACTACGGACCCCTTGAATCGCCTCACCTACAAACCAGGGACAACACCTACCTTATAAAATTATTGTGAGAATTAAGTACCAAGCAATTACCCAAGAGCCTGGCACTAATAAGCATTCAATAATGAGAGCGGGTGCAGCTGCTAACTTCCTCTCTGGGTCTTTCTCCATACCTGTGCGTAACAGGGTCGGAACACATTTCCTCCAATGTTCCAACAAACACTGAAAAATTACACTAGGCCTGCCAAGGACGAAGAAAGGCCCCGCCCGGCCCGCGCCACACAGGTCACCTACGCAAACCGCAGTCCTGGAGCCTCCACCTGCGTCGCTGAGGCATGGAAGGCGCGACGGATGCCAGGCCATTAGGGAGACAGGGCCTCGGTACGCCGGGAGGGAGACCGAGCCGAGCTTCAGGAGCACCGGCCCGTACCACCGTCCGATTTCTCCAGAGGCGAAGCCCTGGAAAAGGTGGAGGAGAAGCCGGAAGTGACGCAAGGCCGTGAGGAACTGGAAATGACCGCAGCACGCCGGAAGTTTACCCGTTTCCAAGGCCGCGGCTCCGGCGCCGCTCGCACCTGTTGGCTGGAATCGCGACGCTGGAAAGCGACTCGGAGGAGCGGGTACCAGCCGCCGGCGGCCGCCGCCAGAGCGACTCGCGGGGAGTAGCAATCGAGGACGGCGGCCGCCTCCCTCGCTGTCGCGTGTGGAAGATAAACGGCCGACACGGCCAACGTGGCGGCCAGTTAAGGGAAAGAGTTAGCGAAGACCAGGACTTGAGTCCCGGCGAGGACAGGGAAAGAATCTGTGACGACGGCGGCCACCGCTGTAGGGGCTCTACAGGAAGGTTAGGTGAAGACGCCGGCTTCTCCCGCACTGCCTGGAGAAGGGTCAGTGGAGACCTGGGCCATGTCTCTCGGGAGAGAGTTAGGGGAGATGGGGGCCGCCGTCACGTCAGTTCCTGGGAGAGCGTAAGGGGAGACCGAGGCTTCAGCAGCAGCGACCCGAATTTAAGAGCAGTGGGCAGCCGTCAAACTAGTGACTGTGAGGGACCGGTCCGAGGAGACCGCGGCCGGTGCTTCAGCGATCCTTGGGAGGCTGTCAGAGAAGTCCGGGGCGCTCAGCCCAGCGACCCCAGGGAGAGAGGCAGTGGCTACTGCAGCCGCCGCCTCAGTGGCTCTTGGGAGGAAGGGAGCGTCGATGGCGGCCACAGCCTCAGCAATTCCTGGGAGGGAGTAAGCGAAGACCGCGGCTACGCGGCCAGCGACTCCTCCGGGGTGAGCGGCAGCGTAGACGCCAGCCGCGGCCTCAGGGGCTTCTGGGATAGAGAAAGTGAAGACGAGGGTTTCCGCTGCGGGGGCTCTTGGGACAGAACCCGGGAAGACCGCGGCCCGGGTCCTAGCGACGACGAAGGCAGCGGCTGCAGCGGTTCGTGGGTGACAGCAAGTGAAGACCGCCGAAGCAGCAGGGGCCTGGACGCGACCCCTCCCCGCAGTCCGAGGGATCGCACCATGCCAGGGGTGTCTGATTCAGGCCCCTCCACCTTCTCTGGGGAGACTGCAACCCCTTGTGAGTCAGACTCTACGTTCGCCCTGGCCTCTGACACTCGCTTCACCCACATCAGCGTTGGCCCTTTATGGCAGTTTCCTTTCTCAGCTGTTACTCCTAATTTTCCTTAGTTGGCCTTTTTTTTTTTTTTTTTTTTTTTTTTTTTTTTTAGTTGACCAATTTTAAGTGGGTCCCAAAGCTGTTCATCTGTTTCTCATCCTCCCTCGCTTCAGCTTACCTCTCTTTCTACCTGCACTATACCTGAGAGTTCTTGCCCAGACTGACATAAACGTTTGTTAAATCTTAGGGACCCTTGGCTTCTCCGCAGCATTTGGCTCTGTAGAGATGACTTTAGCCTTACCTAGTTTTCTTCCTTACTCTCTCTTGCCTCTCCCTTAGATGAGTTTTCTTCCATCCTCTTTTCTTCCATTCTCCTTAAATGCTGTCTTTACCCCCCCCCCCCAATAATGCCATCCCTGATGCTTTTTTTCTGGTATGAAAAACTATGTCTTAAATCCTACTGAAATCTACGGTGCTCAACCATCCTATATCTTGAGGATATATCACTGAAGAAGACAGGCACATTCCTTACCTTCTCCGAGGAAAGAGAAATGCTGAGCAAATAATAACTAGTGGGATAATTACTATAAAGAGTAGAGTGCTGTTGGCTTCAGTATGGGTTGAGGATGGGTATCAGAAAAAACAGAGACACCGAACACTGAGATCTGCTGTGGACTCATATATACAGCTCCCTTCTGAAACTCTTCCTTTGGCACCTCAGTCATCACATGCAAAGTTTGTATCCATATGTCCACTCTGTCCTTTTTTTTTTTTTTTTCCACTCTGTCCTTTGATGTCTGCTATCTTAATGGCACCACACCACTCAGGTAACTAAACTGGACACCTTTTTACATCCCCTTCAGCAGTAGGATGGTTGGTTTTTTTTTGTTGTTGTTTGTTTTGTGGTTTCTTCACTACATCCTGTTCATGCTGTCGAGGATGCCTTTCCCTGTTCCCATTTTACCTGGCAAACTACTGCTAGTCCTTGAGAATCCATTCTTTAACAAAATTACAGGACTTTTATATATACTTTTTTAATTTTTTTTTTAAGATTTTATTTATTTATTCATGAGAGACACAGAGAGAGAGAAAGACACACACAGGCAGAGGGAGAAGCAGGGTTCATGCAGGGAGCCCGATGTGGGACTCGATCCTGGGTCTCCAGCATCACGCCCCAGGCTGAAGGCAGATGCTCAACCGCTCAGCCACCCAGGGTTTTATTTATTGGTGAGAGCTAGAGCATGCACAAACCCAGGGAGGGATAAAGGAAGACGACTCCCCGCTGAGCAGGGAGGCTATGGTGAGGCTGGATCCTGGGGCTCCAGGATCACAACCTGAGCCCAAGGCAGATGTTTGACAGACTTTGCCACCCAGTCCTCCCCTTGAAGATTAATTTTTAGATACTACCTTCCCCAGAAATCCTTTCTTCCTCCGTTTTCTTCCTGGCTATGTTAGAAGTCTTCTGTGCTTTCATAAATTTTTAAGAATATTTCTGTCATTGCTCCTACCACATTATTTTATAATTTGTTTGTATCTTTCTGTGAGTTTGGATAGAGACCATGTTATCTTCATCTTTTTGTCTTTATGGTAGACACCAAATTAACGTTGAGTGGGTGAATGAATGAATTGGGATGGGATGTGGTGAAAAAGAAAAGGCTATAAAATTAGATGGAGTCAAATTATGGGAGGGTATATCTTGTCATTTTGAGAGTTTGGACTTTGTTCTCTAGACCAGCAGTGGATAATCAGAAACAGTGGAGTAGAGGTATGAAGGGATCAGGATAGTGTCTCTGTATAAAATGGATTAAAGTGGGTAGAATATCATTTGTAGATCTTATAGTACTAGGTTAAAGGAGAAGAATGAAGGTCTGGCCTAGGATATTAAAATCATTAAACTTATTAAGTGGCCTGGTTATTTTTGCTACCTTCCTTGCACCCTTCCCCATGTGTATATATCTTTATTGTTCTTAAAGGTCTTACTCAAATGTTTACTCCTCCACCATCTTAATTTTACCTATACTTAGAGCATTACTGTTGGTTTTATTACCTTGTCGGCTTTATCCAAATAGATTTTAAAGTTCTGGTAGAAAGAAAATGTATTAGATCCATGTCCATTTTCCATCATATTGTCATAGTGCCTGGCACATGATAGATGCTCAGAAAGGATTTTTGAGTAACGTGTAGCATTTTATTAAGGGGTGGTATAAGCTATGATTCTACCCTCAAGAAATTAACATTTGAGTTGTGGAGAAAGGATATATATATGTATATATAGTAGTGTGTGTGTGTGTGTGTGTGTGTATATATATATATATATATATATATATATATATATATATATATAGAGTAGTAGTACAAAATTGAGTAGATTATCTACCAGAAATGTTGGTGAGTTCTTTTGAAAACAATTTGAAGTGAGGAATCGTGCCTTTTTGTTTAGGAAATGTCTTGATTAAACTTTATGCTCCTTTCTCCTCTAATAACTGTTTCTTCATGCTTTACTTCTGGCTTACAGTGCACATTAAAGTATTTCACAATCACAAGGTAGTCTTCATGTTTGAACATTATAAAATATAAGACCACTGGAGTGTATGGAGTGTATGAAGTAAACATTGTGACCCTTTCTTAGTGTAGTACATATGAGAAGGATAAGAAAATCATATTGATAGAATATATCAGCCTATGTGAGATAAGGCTTTGGTAAAACCACTGGAGAGTAGGCCTTTGTTATGGAGAAAGCCCTGGGTTGTAGTTCAGAACTATAACTTATCCCCTTTTCCTGCCAAAGATGGGAAATGATTCTTGACTTTTCACAGTGATAACCTGGTGGGTTTTACCTGGTGGGGTGAAATCTATGGAAATGTAGGGGCCTTCTAAGACTTTGGCCCTGAAGAGTTTCTTCCTCATAGGCTAATTCTTGCCCAGAATTCTTTGTCAAAATTATCATTTCAGTGCTTCAAAATTTATGGTTCCAGTGGCTTTTGCTCAGGTAAGCTGAACTTGTTTGTGTTTCTCTGTATTTATATGTCTTTCTAGACTCAAGGAGGCAGTTGGCCCTGAGACCTTAGTTCTTTGATAAGTCCAAGAAAAGTTGTTGATTTTCAGTTTGTTCAGCTTTTCTTGTACCTATGGGAGTGATAACTTCTATGCTCTTTGTGTGTTAGAGCTAAATGGGATTAAGATGTTAATCACAAACATCCGTGTAGTAAATTGTTTGGAAAGCCAAAGTGATTTTGTGCTTTTTTTTGAATCATTGCTTTAGTCTTTTTTTTTTTTTTTTTAGATTTATAATATATATTAAGCAATTTGATTTTCAGTAGGTGCCCGGAAGAAGGTGCATTTTGGTAGCATTCATGATGCAGTACGAGCTGGAGATGTAAAGCAGCTTTCAGATATAATAGAACGAGGAGTCAGCATTAATGAAGTTGACATTCTCCATAAGTTTAGCCCTTTACATTGGGCAGCACATTCTGGAAGTTTGGAGGTAAGCAGCTGTATACATTATTAAGCTGAAGTAAGGTTAGCAGTTTTGAAGATTTAGCAACTAGGACAGATTTTATGCTAGGCACTGGGAATATTTTTCTTTTCAATTCTAGTATTTGCTGTTCTGGTTACTATGCCTTTGTAACAAGTTATCCCAAAGGGTGGTGGCATGAAATAACCTTTTGTGCTCAGAGGTAAATTAGGAATTTGGATCTCAAGGAAAGCACATCTCCGTTTCATGATGTGTGGGGCTTCAGCTAGAAGGTTTAAATGCTGGAGCTGAAATCTTCAAAAGGCTCACTCATACAGATGTCTGATGGGAGATACTGGCTATACGTTGGCCACCTTAATTCCTCTTCGTGTGTGTGTGTGTGTTTTTAAGGTTATTTATTCATGAGAGACACAGAGACACAGGCAGAGGAGAAATGGCCGCCCCCGCAAGGAGTCCCATGTGGGACTCCATCCCCATCCTGGAATTCTGGGATCACGCCCTGAGCCAAAGGCCCACCCTCAACCGCTGAGCCACCCAGGTGTACTTCCATGTGGGTTTTTATGTGAGGTCCCTCCACCTGGGGCTTGTTTGTGATTCCTCACAATGTGGTGGCTAAGTTTCAAAGGCGAACATTGACGGTAACTTACAGAGGGTTATATATGAATATCTAGTTCTATTAATCCTAGCATTTTTCCTATAGTTATTTTAGATTTTTAGAAAATAAGTGGGATATTACAGTTGCATTTGAAGTCTCTTAGCACCCCTCTCAGGTGCCATTTCTCTCCTTCCAACTCCAGAGATAAACTATTACTGTGAATTTGGTGTTTAATGTTCCCATCTATATTTTGTTATTACATATGATTATATTATTGCTTTTAATGACATTTTACGTAAATGACATCATACATATGTATCATCTTGTAGCTTGCATTTTGTGTTCAACAATGTATTTTTGAGTCTTAACTATGTGGTTACATTTATGTACTCCATTTCTTCCTTTCTTTTCTTTCTTTTCTTTCTTTCTTTCTTTTCTTTTCTTTCTTTCTTTTTTTTCTTTTCTTTTCTTTTCTTTTCTTTTCTTTTCTTTTCTTTTCTTTTCTTTTCTTTTCTTTTCTTTCTTTTCTTTCTTTTTCACGAGAGAGAGAGAGGAGGAGGCAGAGACATGGGCAGAAGGAGAAGCAGGCTCCATGCAGGGAGCCTGACATGGGACCAGGTCTCCAGGATCAGCCCCTGGGCTGAAGGTGGTGCTAAACCCCTTGAGCCACCTGGGCTGCCCACTCCATTTCTTTCAGACATGTTATGATAATGCGTTCTTAAGACTAATATTAGAATTTATCCACTTCTTGATTGATGGATATTTAGTTAGTCTCAATTTTTAGCTAGTACAAGCAGTGCTTATTGAGTATTTTTATGCAAAACTTAATTTTTGGGTTGTGTGCAAAGCCCATTGGACTTTTTCCTCATGATTTGGGGTTGTGTGTGTGTGTGTAGCTTATTTTCATTACTACATTTCCCCAGCCTGTAGGCTGCCGTAGTTCTGTTCACTATAAAGTCCGTTTTTTTCCCCTGCCACACAAAGACTGCTTTCTCACACAGAGAAACTGTGTGATTTTTGTTTGTTTGGGCTTCTCTGCTTCTTGGAACCAAATCTGGCCCAGAGAATTATATTAAATAGCTTGAACTTATCCTGCAGGGGATACAGTCACTAACATTGACTTAAGAAAGGTTTCAAGTAACATCAGATGTTAGTTTTAGAGTGATAACTTTATACTGATAACTTTATACTCTCCACCAGTTTGTGTGCCCTGCTTGAATTGTTGTAAACATGGATTTTTACCATGTCTTTTAGTGTCTTCCTTTCACCTAGGAGAAATGTGTCTTGATGAGTTTGTAATGCTGGGGAGTATTTTTTTCTGTTTATTTCTGAATCCCTGTTGGATCTACATTTTGGTAGCTTTCCCATCTGTTCTGTGGTTTCAGATGTCTCCCGCATCAAAGATGGGGTTTTATTCCTGTTTATCTTGCTCTTTTATTATTTTTTTAAAGATTTTGAAGAGGGAGGAAATAATGATCTTATTCTTCTATATTCAAATAGGATGGGGTTTCCTCTCCTTCCTGGTATCCTTTCAGCCTTTCTGATTACTCTCAGTCTTCTTTGGTTAACCTCCTCTGCTTCCTCTATAAATACAGGTACTTTTTATTCTTCTGCTAATGACCTTTTCTCTCCTATTTTATATCCTCTCTCTAGGTAGTCTTTTAGAGTTCCTTGGCTTTATCACTACTACATAGCAAGTCACAGATTTGCTTTCTCTTGAGCTCTGGCTTCTATATCAGATGTTTGATCAATAGCTCATGCATAGCTCATAGGATCTCAAATTAGTCTAAAACTAAACCAGTATTCTTTTCCGTCCTTTTCTTAGTTTTCCAGGCTAATGACTTTGCATCATTATTGCATTGTCTCCATTTTTTCCAGAAGCACACAATATCAACATTTGTAGGAAGGCGCACTTCATAATGCACACTGATGCAGTGAGAACTGATTACTACTAGATCGTTGATTTTGTTCCATCTTTGTCTCCTGAGTTAGTCTTCTCCATCTCCTAGCAGCTACTGCTTTAGAGCTAATTGATTTCTTTCTTTTCTGTCTCATCTACCTTTAGTTCATATTCAATATAAAGTTACTGCTCTAAAACTAATATCTGGTGTTACTTGAAACCTTTAAATCCATGTAGTATCTATGAATAAATAAATAAAATCTTAAAAAAAAATAAATCCATGTAGTGATTCTATCCACTATAGGATAAAGTTTAAGGTATTTAATAGAAGGGACTTCTCTCTCCAACCTCATTTCCCATTGTTTTATTCTGTAGTACGGGTGACTACTGTCATTTCCCCCACTAGTCTGCTGTTTCATGTTACCATAGACTTGACACATGCTGTTTTATCTGCTTGGTTTCATCTCTTCCTATTGGTTACTTGGTTGAAAACCAGATCAGACAGCACCCACTTGGCATATGGCCTTCTGTTTTTCTCCCCTCAACATCCTCTTTACCCAGGAGCTACCCTTAAATCTTACACATATTTTTAAAATTATATTTGTTTCTATTTATTACTTTGAGCCTCTTTTACATTTTGAGCTCTTTGAAGGTATCATTTAGGTTTTATTTCTCTTTTTTTCCATCTGGCATAGTGTCTGGCACATTGAATTCTTAATGTTTGCTGTATTGCTGAATTTGTTGAATTAAATTTGGCTTACAGAATATTGGTGAAATATAAGATTTGGATCAGCATTGCACTTACAGTAACAACTGGCTGCGATTAAGTAGCATTTACACCTTATGGACAAGGAATTTGATCTCCAATTTGCCACAGCTCCCACTGTTTTCTATTGTTGACCCAAAAATAAGACCCAAGTGGGGGTTACCATTTCATTGTTCTTGTGCTTTTGTTTTTCTTAAACCTAGCCCCTTCATTTACTTGTGGGGCTTCCCAGGCTGTGGTTTTTCATCATGATAGACTAAATTTCAAAGATCTAAAGATGTTAAAAAACATCTGCCTTATCACTTGTTAACATGGTTATTTTCTTAATTTAGTGTCTTCACTGGCTTCTCTGGCATGGAGCTGATACCACACAAGTAACCATGAGAGGTTGGACAGCAGCTCACATAGCTGCAATCAGAGGTCAGGATGCCTGTATGCAGGTAATGATAACTTTGGTTACTTTAAAAAAAATCAATATGTTTAATTACTTTAGCTTAGTTTTGTTGGGCTATTGCTTTTATTCTAGTAATTTGATCCATAAACAAGAACTTACTGAATTCCATGACTCAGATATTTGATATCAGATACAGCTTAAACAAATGGTGTAAGACTGGGGATCCTTTTATCTCTGAAATAGTTGGCTAATGGGTTGTATTAAGGGATGTCATAGACATGCCCACATTATCTCAATAGCTTGTCATGCCTAACATTTCTTATTTAATATATTTCCTGGCCAGAGTTAAATATTAATATGTGCAGGATCTACCTTATTAGACTAGGTATAATCAATGTAGTGAAATAGACTGGAATTTGGAGGAATACATAATTGTCTAAGTTCCTGCCTATAAGAAGCCTAAGATTCTATTTGGAATGACAGGTTCTTTACTCAGTGTATTATAAAACAATACAAAGTATCGTCTATGATTAAGATTCTAATGATAAGGAGATAGAGACATCATTAATGGAGGCAATAAAACTTCAACTAGCTGAAAAGAACAGGTTGATTTCAGAAAGGTAAGAAGTGATGAAAAATAATGATTATCATTTTTAATGTGTGAATTACAGTTTCCCATACATCACTTCATTTAATACAACAATCATATGAGTTCCCCTTTTTATAAACAGATTCAGAGAGTTAAGTACCTTGCCTAAGTAAGTGACAAAACCAGGATTTGAACCTAAATTTTATTCAGATAACTTGTGTGCTATAATTCTACGTAAAGTGCTCAAATTGAAGTTTACGTGTGTTCAGGGATAAACTATTATATGAGTTTGACTAAGTTGTAGACGTTTTGTTGTATACTGTTACAAATTTAGTTCGGATAGCCAGGTATGTAAAATGTCTTAGAAGTAGAAAAAAGACTCATTTATGAAGAAAGAGAGTTTTTATATAGTCTTATACATAGAACACACATACATACTTATATATACACAAGCACATGAACATTAACAGAAGAATGAAGTAATGAAAACAGTATTTTAGGAAATTATTCTAACAAGGTCTGTATCTGGAATTACCTAGGATGAGGAGACAGTTTGGAGGCAAGAAGACTAGTTAGAGACTTTTGGTGTCGTCACTACCCACAGAGGGCAAAATTAGGGAGTGGCAGTGGGAAAGAAAGAAAATGATTGAAGACATCTTGCAAAGCAGGCATGGACAGAGTATTGGGAAAATTTTAAAGTTTTGAGGCAGAATGGCAGATAATGATGGCGCTACAGATCGGGAAATCTGTTTTTTTTGTTTGTTTGTTTTGTTTTGTTTTTTAGATAGAGAAATCTGAAAGGCAAGGAGATAGGGGGGCAAAAATGTTGAGTTCAATTTGGCACATGTTTAGGGCGCCTGTAGGTCATTCAGGTGCAGAAGGTCCAGGCAGTTGAAAAGGGTGCTAGAGACAAAGGTTTCAGGAGTAATAAAGTATAGGGAAGAGAATAGAGTATTGAGGATTGGATGTTAAAGAATGTTACTAGTAGTGATTGTAGGAAGAGAAATGAGTAAAGAATTCAAAGGAGGAAGTCAGAGGTCCATTGGGCTGTACAGATGAAGGAAGAAGTGTTAGGTTGAGTGTCAGAGTTACAGGATAAAACTGAGGAAATGCCACTGGACTTGACAGCTCACTATAGGGCGAGGTTTGCTGTATTTCCATGCAGTGGTAGGGATGGCACCCCATTTGCAGGTGGATTTGAAGTTGAGGCATTGAGGTATTAATTTGAGAAGTGGGCAATGAAAAAGAAAATGCAATAGTAATTTCGGGGGACATCAGGGTCAAATGATGCTTTTCTTCCTCTAAGCATTAGATCAAACCATTCCCATCACTCTCATTGTCCTTGTCTCCCTGAAAGTTATCTTTTTATTCTCAGAGATTTTGTGGTTCTTTTTTGGTACTATACTGTGTAGTTGTTGCTTATCAAGGACTGCTTTGTATAACTGATTATCTTTGTCTCTACATGTGTCCTAATTCCCTAAATTGAAATGTCTTCATATTCTTTATAGTGACTTTTAATACACAGTAAACACTTAGTATAGTTTGTGATGATTGTTGAGTAGTTAATTATGGAAACTATTCTTAAAACTTTTTTTTTTTATTCTTAAAACTTTTGATAGGAATTATGATTGAGTCTTTTGCTAAGTTACTGGTAAATATAGGTTAGTTAAAAAAAAAGCAAGTCTATGGGAGTAAAACTAACAAATATTAACTAATAATTCTTATAAACAGATTACTTGATATATATTTTTTGATTACTTGATATATTATATAGAGGGGTGTGCTGTGTATATGATATAATTCATAGACAGAAACTAGGCCAATTATAATTTCAGATGGAATTTCCTCAGATGCAGTTAGAAATTTGATTTGGAGCTAGAACTAGTTACTCTAATAATGAAATCCTTTTACAAAGTATATTAAAAACCCAGTTAATAAAAGATTCCCCTTTTGAAATAGTGGAAGTTGGGCAGCCCAGGTGGCTCAGCGGTTTAGCACCGCCTTCAGCCCAGGGCGTGATTGTGGAGACCCGGGACCGAGTCCCACGTCAGACTCCCTGCATGGAGCCTGCTTCTCCCTCTGTGTCTCTGCCTCTCTCTCTCTCTCTCTCTCTCTCTCTGTGTGTCTCTCATGAATAAATAAATAAAGTCTTAAAAAGAAATAGTGGAAGTTTACTTTTCAGCTTATTAGCTTAGCATTGAAGTATTTAACTTAGTGGTTATTAATCTTTCTGAAAAGTGTGCCTTATAAATTATATGCTCTAATTAGAATGTGAAATCAGGTATTATAAATACCTTGTAGGCATGGTTAAAAAGGATCTCAAACATTTTCTTAGGATTAACTAAGAATTTCTCATACTTTGTGGCACATCTGTAAGAACTTATATAATAATGTTACATTATTACTTATATAAAAATGCCTATTACATCACACTTATGATTTAACATATATTTATGCAAACTTCTATTTTTCTGTTTTTAGGCACTCATAATCAATGGGGCAAATTTGGCAGCTCAAGATGATCGTGGATGCACTCCTTTACACCTTGCTGCAACACATGGACATTCTTTCACTTTACAAATAATGCTCCGAAGTGGAGTGGTAAGAGATTCCTATTAACATGTGAGAATGTGTAATCCTATAAATGGAGTAGCAATTGGTAGCCTAGTTACTTCTTTCTGACTTTTTAAAGCCCTTATATGACTTTGGAGAAGTAATATGATCTCTCTCTCTTGCTCTTCTGTCTTTAAACATGGGAGCAATAATTTAGATAAAGCTTCAAAAAGACCCAGTTTAGCAGCACAAAGTATTTCAGATGGGTTCTTCAGTTCAGAGTTTGGGAAGAATTTGAAGCTTCTAAACTCATCTGAACCAGTCATTGTAAATCTTTCTGAATTTCTGTGTGTTTACCTGTTTGTTCATAAACTAATTTAGAAAGTGATTTTTATCCCCAGAAATTTCATTTATTGTGATACTTATTTTCAGTATTACCCAGTCATTGTAAAAAAAAATAACTTATAAGAAAATAACTACTTGTATCGAAGACATTATGGTAAGAGCTGGTGTTTCTATAGTTAGAGAAAAAGTGAAGGGCCTGTTAAGTTTTTTTTTTTCATTTACTCTTTGTTTATACATTCAAGGATATAATTGCATCATTTGAATCCATCTCTTTCATTTTATTGATCAGGAACCTATGACCGGTACAGTGGCCAGTTATGTTCTATTTTTTAAAAAGTTTTATTTATTTTAAAAGATTTATTTATTTTAGAGAGAACGTGAGTGAGAGGGTCAGAGGGAGAGGGAATATCAAGCAGATTCTATTCTGAGCATGGAGCCCAACATGGGGCTTTTCCCCCACAACCATGAGATCATGCCCTGAGCCAAAACCAAGCCTGACACTCAATGGACTGCATGACCCAGATGCCCTGTGATTTATATATTTATATATTTATTTGAGAGAGAGAGAGAGAGAAAAACACAGTGGGGGGGGGCGGGCAGAAGGAGAGGGAGAGATCCCAGGTAGACCCCGTGCTAAGCATGGAGTCTGACTCAGCTGGATTCCATGACCCCAACACCATGACCCCAGCTGAAACCAAGGGTTGGGCGCTTAACTAACTGTACCACCCAGGCACCTCTAGTTAAGTTCCTTTTTATTTTTTATTTATTTTAGAAATATTTTATTTATTTATTCATGAGAGACACAGAGAGAGAGGCAGAGACATAGGCGGAGGGAGAGGCTGGCTCCATACAGGGAGCCTGATAGGGGACTCGATCCTGGGATTGAGGAAACTCTGGGATCACAGCCTGAGCCGAAGGCACATGCTCAACCACCAAGCCATCCAAGGCATCCCACGTTCCTTTTTAAAAACTATTTTTAGTGATGCCTTGATGGTTTAGTGGATTAAGCATCTGCCTTTCGTTCAGGTTATTATCCCAGGGTCTTGGGATGGAGCCCTATGTCAGGCTCTCCACTCAGCAGGGAGTCTGCTGCTCCTTCTGCCCCTGCCTCGGCTCATGCTTATGTTCTCTCTCTCTCTGAAAAAAATAAAATCTTTGAAGAAAAACTATTTTTATGGATCTAGTAAAGTTCTTTTTAAAAAGACTATTTAGGGGATCCCTGGGTGGCTCAGCGGTTCAGCACCTGCCTTTGGCTCAGGGCTCGATCCTAGAGTCCCAGGATCGAGTCCTGCATCAGGCTCCCGGCAAGGAGCCTGCTTCTCCCTCCTCCTGTGTCTCTGCCTCGCTCTCTCTGTTTATCATAAATAAATAAATAAATCTTTAAAAAATAAATAAAAAGACTAATAAAATTTCATTAGTATCTTATTCATATGTTTAAATCAGTGATTATAGTAAATTTTTCTATTACATTTATTTTTTGCTTTATATTTTTAAGAACACCTCCAATTTTCAACTGCAGAATTAAACTGCTAGACTTAGTATTTCTTCTACAAATGGAAAGAAACTGAGTTCTTGTGAATGTTACCTCTAGGATCCCAGTGTGACTGATAAGAGAGAATGGAAACCTGTGCACTATGCAGCTTTTCACGGGCGGCTTGGCTGTTTGCAACTTCTAGTTAAATGGGGATGTGGCATAGAAGATGTGGACTACAATGGAAACCTTCCAGGTATTCACAAAAGTGAATGTTTTGGTTTTTCATTAATGTAAACTTAATGATTGCATTTAAGAAATTTAAACTCATCATTCTAACAATCCTTCAGAAAACTAAATTTGTTGGCCTGAGCATTTTTTACTCTTATACCTATGTTATGTACTTCTCATGTGATTAATTTCTTTCTGAAACCATATCAGCAAAAGAGAAATTGGCAAAATTGAACTTGGATTTACTCTTCCACCAGCTATTTCCTTCATCTGCTGTCTAATGTTATTATTTTTTAACTTCATACAGCTCCACCTCCCAGACTGCTGTTTATAAATAATATTATAAACAGTAGACACTAGTGTATTTGAGTTAATTTGCCAACTGCAGTTGGCTAGGCTGTGATTAGCTGGCCAATTGAGACCTATACTCTAAACACCCTGTCTTCTTCCAAGAGGTGCTGTAGAAATTTGGAAGAGGGATAGATCATAGTGAGAATGGAGTGATGATTATTAAAAATAATTCTTGTATTATGTCTTAAAAGAATCTTAAGTAGCAAACAAATGAAGGGACCATCCAGGCAGAATGATATGAACAGGTTTGATCAAATCATTTTGTCACCTAAAAACTCCCTACATTGCTATGGAGCTCTGATTTCTTAGCTTGGCATGCTATATATTCCTAATTTGGCTCTTACCTACCTCCTTGGCCTCATCTTCCATCCCTTTACACTACTGTCTGGGATTGTTTTGCTTCTTTCTGGAATACACCCTTTACTGTTCATAAAGTAGAGATGTGTTGGTAAGAACTCTTAATTTTTGTATATTTGAAATTAATGTTTTGCTTTTACATTTTTTTGTCTTGTTTTAGTCATTCTTTTGGGTGTAATACTTCATTGTGGTTTTATTTCCTTTTATTAAAAAATTTTTTTTAAAAAGATTTTATTTTATTTACTCATGAGAGATACAGAGCGAGAGAGAGAGAGGCAGAGACACAGGCAGAGGGAGAGCAGGCCCCATGCAGGGAGCCCGACGTGGGACTTGATCCCAGGTCTCCAGGATCATGCCGCGGGCTAAACAGCTGCGCCACCGGGGCTGCCCTTCATTGTGGTTTTAATTAACATTTTCTTTGATTAATTATTTAGAACACCATTTTTTTTTCTGGAAGTTTGTACCTGTCTCTCCCCACCCTTTTTTTAATTGAGATATGATTGACATATGTACTTTATTAGTTTCAGGTGTATAGCATATTGATTTGACAATTCCATATATTACCAGTATTTACCATAAGTATCATCTGTCACCATACATTATTATAATATTATTGACTATATTTCCTATGCTATAGTTTTAATTTCCATGACTTACTTATTTTGTAACTGGAAGTTTGTATCTCTTAATCTCCTTTACCTCTTTCTCCCATCCCTTCAACCCTTCTCCCTAGCACCATATTATTCTCTGTAGTTATGAGTCTGTCTTTTTTTTCTTTCCTGTTTTGTCTTTCAGATTTCACACATAAGGGACATCATGTGTTATCTTTCTCTGACTGATATTACTTAGCAAAATACTCTAGTTCCAAAAAACAAAACAAAAAACAAAAAAACAAAATACTCTAGTTCCATCCATTTTGTTGAAAATGGCAAGGTATCATTCATACTTTTTATGGCTGAATAATATCCCATTGTGCGTATATATCTCTATATATTTATATACCACTTCTATATCCATTCATCTGTCTATGGACACTTAGATTATTTCCATATCTTGGCTATTGAAAATAAGGCTGCAATAAACTTAGCGGTGCATATAATATATTTTTTAGAATTAGTGTTTTCATTTTCTTTGGATAAATACCTAGTAGTGGAATTACTGGATCATATGGCATTTTTATTTTTCATTTTTTTGGTTTCTAAAAAAAAAAAAAACCCAAACCCCCAAACCTCTGTTTTCTTTTTTTATTTTTTTATATATATATTTTTAATAAATTAATTTTTATTGGTGTTCAATTTACCAACATACAGAATAACACCCAGTGCTCATCCCGTCAAGTGTCCCCCTCAGTGCCCGTCACCCATTCACCCCCATCCCCCTTCCTCCTCCCCTTCCACCACCCCCAGTTCGCTTCCCAGAGTTAGGAGTCTTTATGTTCTGTGTCCCTTTCTGATATTTCCCACACATTTCTTCTCCCTTCCCTTATATTCCCTTTCACTATTATTCATATTCCCCAAATGAATGAGAACATACACTGTTTGTCCTTCTCCGATTGACTTACTTCACTCAGCATAACACCCTCCAGTTCCATCCACGTTGAAGCAAATGGTGGGTATTTGTCGTTTCTAATGGCTGAGTAATATTCCATTGTATACACAAACCACATCTTCTTTATCCATTCATCTTTCCATGGGCACCGAGGCTCCTTCCACAGTTTGGCTATTTGGACATGGCTGCTAGAAACATCGGGGTGCAGGTATCCCGGCGTTTCATTGCATCTGAATCTTTGGGGTAAATCCCTAACAGTGCAATTGCTGGGTCGTAGGGCAGGTCTATTTTTAATTCTTTGAGGAACCTCCACACAGTTTTCCAGAGTGGCTGCACCAGTTCACATTCCCACCAGGCAGTGTAAGAGGGTTCCCTTTTCTCCGCATCCTCTCCAACATTTGTTGTTTCCTGCCTTGTTAATTTTCCCCATTCTCACTGGTGTGAGGTGGTATCTCATTGTGGTTTTGATTTGTATTTCCCTGATGGCAAGTGATGCAGAGCATTTTCTCATGTGCATGTTGGCCATGTCTATGTCTTCCTCTGTGAGATTTCTCTTCATGTCTTTTGCCCATTTCATGATTGGATTGTTTGTTTCTTTGCTGTTGAGTTTAATAAGTTCTTTATAGATTTTGGAAACTAGCCCTTTATCTGATATGTTATTTGCAAATATCTTCTCCCATTCTGTAGGTTGTCTTTGAGTTTTGTTGACTGTATCCTTTGCTGTGCAAAAGCTTCTTATCTTGATGAAGTCCCAATAGTTCATTTTTGCTTTTGTTTCTTTTGCCTTCGTGGATGTATCTTGCAAGAAGTTACTGTGGCCAAGTTCAAAAAGGGTGTTGCCTGTGTTCTCCTCTAGGATTTTGATGGATTCTTGTCTCACATTTAGATCTTTCATCCATTTTGAGTTTATCTTTGTGTATGGTGCAAGAGAGTGGTCTAGTTTCATTCTTCTGCATGTGGATGTCCAATTTTCCCAGCACCATTTATTGAAGAGACTGTCTTTCTTCCAGTGTATCGTCTTTCCTCCTTTATCGAATATTAGTTGACCGTAAAGTTCAGGGTCCACTTCTCGGTTCTCTATTCTGTTCCATTGATCTATGTGTCTGTTTTTGTGCCAGTACCACACTGTCTTTTTTTTTTTTTTTTTTTGTACCACACTGTCTTGACCACAGCTTTGTAGTACAACCTGAAATCTGGCATTGTGATGCCCCCAGATATGGTTTTCTTTTTTAAAATTCCCCTGGCTATTCGGGGTCTTTTCTGATTCCACACAAATCTTAAAATAATTTGTTCTAACTCTCTGAAGAAAGTCCATGGTATTTTGATAGGGATTGCATTAAACATGTAAATTGCCCTGAGTAACATTGACATTTTCACAATATTAATTCCTCCAATCCATGAGCATGGAATATTTTTCCATCTCTTTGTGTCTTCCTCAATTTCTTTCAGAAGTGTTCTATAGTTTTTAGGGTATAGATCCTTTACCTCTTTGGTTAGGTTTATTCCTAGGTATCTTATGCTTTTGGGTGCAATTGTAAATGGGATTGACTCCTTAATTTCTCTTTCTTCAGTCTCATTGTTAGTGTATAGAAATGCCATTGATTTCTGGGCATTGATTATGTATCCTGCCACGCTACCAAATTGCTGTATGAGTTCTAGCAATCTTGGGGTGGAGGCTTTTGGGTTTTCTATGTAGAGTGTCATGTCCAAACCTCTGTTTTCCATAGTAGTTGTGCCAATTTAGATTTGTACCAACAGTACATGAGAGGTCTCTTTTCTTCAGATTCTCTCCGAAACTTATTTCTTTTTACTTTTGACACTAGCCATTTTGACTGGTATGAGGTGATATCTCATTGTGGTTTTGATTTGCATTTCCCTGATGATGAGTAATGTTAAGCATCTTTTCATGTGTCTGTTGGCCATCTGTACATCTTCTTTGGAAAATGTCTATTCAGATCTGCCCATTTTTAATTGATTTATTTGTGTTTTTAGTGTTGAGTTGTATAAATTCTTTATATATTTTGGTTATTTAAACCCTTACTGGATATCATTTGTAGATATCTTCATCCATTCAGTAGGTTGCTTTTTGTTTTGTTGATGGTTTCCTTTGCTGTGCAAAAGCTTTTTATTTTGGTATAGTCCCACTATTTTATTTTATTTTATTTTATTTTATTTTATTTTATTTTATTTTATTTTATTTTATTTTATTTTATTTTATTTTATTTTATTTTATTTTATTTTATTTTATTTTATTTTATTTTATTATTTCATTTCATTTCATTTCATTTCATTTCATTTCATATTTCATTTCATTTCACCCATGAGATATATCCATAAATATGTTGCTAAGGCCCGAGTTGAAGAGATTACTGCCTGTGTTTTCTTTTAGGAGTTTTTTTTTTTTTAATTTTAAAGATTTTTTTAAAAAAGATTTATTTGTGAGAGACACACAGAGAGAATGAGAGAGAGCGAGAGAGAGGGGCAGAGGCAGAGAGAGACACAGGCAGAGGGAAGAAGCAGGCTCCATGCAGGGAGTCCGACGTGGGACTCGATCCCAGGCCTCCAGGACCACGCCCTGGGCTGAAGGCAGAGATAAATCGCTGAGCCACCCAGGCTGCCCTCTTTTAGGAATTTTATGATTTCAGGTCTCATATTTAGTTCTTTAATCCATTTTGAGTTTATTTTTGTATATGGTGTAAAAAAGTGATCTAGTTATATCTTTTTGCCTGTGGCTGTCCAGTTTTCTTAGTGCAATTTTTGAAGAGATTG